TAGAAACAAAAGGTATGGATAAATTACAAAGGTCTTCTTTTATAAAGTGGCTAAAAACATGTATTTATAGGTCTAAAATCGTGCAGGTCGAAATCTCTGGCAAAACCAAGTCAAATTAGGAAACACTGAAATTTTCCTTTATTTTCGTCGGTTTAGCTAGAATGACAGGTTTTCACGAGAATTGGTGTAACTTTCTGACCGTTGATCCAAATGACTTCAATATTCTTTTGGATGCAAGCTGACTCAAATTTCTATCTTGTGTCCAAATTTCAGATCAATCCAATGAATTTAAGGCCTCCAACAATAGCTTGATATATGACGCTTTAGAACTGTCCAATATCTCTTTTCTCATCCTTTTTGCTCAGTTAACATGTAAAAGACTCTAAACACTACAAACATACTAAAACTACCACTATAGACATAAAATCGCATAAAAACCATTAGATAGAATAATAAAAACCATATAAAAAACCTTAAAAACTAGGATATATCATATTGTGAGTATATATCGTTATTGATTAAGATTAAAACTTGTGTATCATTTGAAACTTGAATAAAAAGACTATTGAGCTATATTAGAAGAAGTATGCACAATCATACCTTGCAAAGGCGTATAAGAATGTTGGTTTGCTTCTAAGCAAGATGCCTAAACAATTTAAATTTAATGAACTAAATTGTGGCGATAACCAAACCTTTTTATTTTTTCCAAAGAACCAACAAAATAAATAGAAAAACTCATATCTTTAACTGGCCAAGGCAAAGTATATCTCCACCAAAACAAAAAAATGAAATCATTTAGGTTCGCTTATATGATAAGAAATTCTGGTTCGGATACCATAACAAAATGATTGATAGTCAATAATACTTTTTCCTTCTCATCATTTTATTATATACAAGTCGCTTGGTAAGGTAGCATGCATATCATATGTATAATATATACCAACATCATAATCGCAAGTGTATAATATAAATTATTATGATTAGGGCCGGGTTATTCCTTTGACAAAAAAAAAAAAAGGGGTTATTTCTTTTGATCGATTTATGAAAAGATGCCAAATAGGATTTTTGTCCACAAGTGCCTAATTTGATATGCAATATATGCAGGAAACAAAAATAGTCTTTAAATTTTACCGGTCAACGACCATGTGAACATAGACTGAGTAGTTTCTTTGGTCTATGTATGATGGCTATGTGATGTACCTTCTTGACACGAGAGCAGGAGGAATACCGAAGCTTGTAAGACCAATTTGCCTTACGAAATGGATCAATGGATCGCTAAGTTGATCAAGATTTGACGAGGCTGAAATAAAAAAACTACATATCCTGAACTGAAAAGAAAGTATGTACAATATGAAATGAGAAATATAATAATAATAACATTGACATGGCGAACAAAAAACATGATTAATCAAAGGCCCAAAAAGCCCAAGCTGTAAAAAATCCGCATATAGGTTCTAGTAAACTGCGTACAGTTTTTCGTACATAGAAACGGTACGTAGTTCGAGTTACTACCTCAGACATTGGAAGTGTACTAATGTATGTGTGACGTGGATCTCAGAAATTTAATCCGCGTCTCAATGACCAATCAGAAATGACCATGTCAGATTATTCATCCAATTGAAAATTTACACGTGGAACATCTACGTCTTTCTCGCGCCTCCGACTCTGTTAATAACTTCCGTTTTCCACTTTCATATCGATCTCAAAAATTCGATCTTCGCAAATCAGGTGAATAACGTAGAATCGAAACTTCGCCGGAGTATATAATCGGAGAAAATAACAGGCGGCGTAACGGCGATGGAAGCTCACGGTTCCGGTCTCCGGCGATTTCTGTTGTTGTCATTCTGTGTCGCCGGGATCTGGGCTGCCTACATTTACCAAGGCGTTCTTCAGGAAACCCTGTAAGTAATTTCTTAGGTCGAATTGATTATTTCCCATCGTCACTGATCGATTCTGTTTGTTTGAGATCGTTGCGATTCTCGGGATCCTTGTTGTTTATGTGTTTGCAATACAAATCTGTGATTGGGATTTGTAGAATTGTAGCTGTTAGGAACTTGCACTTTGATCTAAGGACTCTAATTTTTCCGGTTTGTAATTTTAGGTCCACGAAGAAATTTGGTGAAGATGGGAAGAGATTTGAGCATCTTGCATTTCTGAACTTGGCTCAGAATGTAATTTGCTTGGTTTGGTCTTATATAAGTGAGCATTCGAAATACTCTTCCTTGTTTATATTCGTTCTATGCATAAATAGAGGAAGCTGAAGTATTTGCGATATCGATTTATGAGCAGTGATTAAGCTCTGGTCCAATGGAGGTAGTGGTGGAGCGCCATGGTGGGCGTACTGGAGCGCTGGAATTACTAATACCATTGGTCCTGCCATGGGCATTGAAGCTTTGAAGTATATTAGTTATCCAGCTCAGGTAACTTAGGCTTCTTTAGGCATGGAAGTGTAGTAAAAACACTATCTGTCTTGATTAAAGTTGATACTTCAGATGGTTCTGTTTTTAATAATTTCTTAAGAAGTATGTAGGGGAATAAGATTTGTAAAGAGATGTTGTTGATTGTGATCTTATTTCTGTAGGTTCTGGCGAAATCTTCCAAAATGATTCCAGGTGAAGTGTCAGTTTAGAACGTCGATCCTTAATGGTTCCCGACGGATCTCCCTATCTTATATATGTTTTTTTCTTTCGTGTAGTCATGCTGATGGGCTCCTTAGTTTATGGCATAAGATACACTTTGCCTGAGTACCTCTGCACCTTTCTTGTTGCGGGAGGAGTATCCTCGTTTGCCCTTCTTAAGGTAGATCCGTATTCATGAACTTTGATTATAACCATTGGTTATACTTTGACTTTGCATCTGTAGTAACCCGTCTTTGGATTGGTTTCAGACAAGCTCTAAAACCATCAGCAAGCTAGCAAATCCCAATGCACCCCTTGGTTACGGACTCTGCTTCTTAAACCTTGCCTTTGATGGATTCACAAACGCCACCCAGGATTCCATTACCGCAAGGTATGGTTCTTGACATTCTGTTAGAAACTTAACTTACTTAATCAGAATGTCTAGCTCCCTTTCGTCTGCCATTTGGGCATAACCATCGCGATACTTGTATATAGGTACTCGAAAACTAGCGCATGGGACATAATGCTGGGAATGAATTTATGGGGAACCATATACAACATGGTCTACATGTTTGGATTGCCACACGGGAGCGGATTTGAATCTGTGCAGTTCTGCAAGCAGCACCCTGAGGCAGCATGGGACATTCTAATGTACTGTCTATGCGGCGCAGTGGGCCAAAACTTCATTTTCTTGACAATAAGCCGATTCGGGTCTCTAGCTAACACAACCATAACCACAACCAGGAAGTTTGTAAGCATCGTAGTATCTTCAGTTCTGAGCGGGAATCCGTTATCGACCAAACAATGGGGATGTGTGTCGATGGTGTTTGGTGGATTGTCTTACCAAATTTACCTGAAATG